CTGACGACGCCCGCGCACGGCCTGCCAGCCCCGTTCTGGCCGTTCCCCGCACCCATTCCGCCACCCTAGGAAGCCCTGCTTCTGTCTCGAACAACGACGGTACTGCGGGGCTCTTGGATGAGGTTCCGGAGGCCTCCGGGGGGGTCTCCCGAAGCGTCCTGCCCAATTCGCCACGGGGGCACCAAGGGGCTCCAGTCGCTCTTTCTCCGTCACCGAGTTCTGAGCCACCAGTGGTCGCGTGCTCCTCGGGTAGCCCCGAGCACGAAGGCAAGCCCTGCAGCCCCGCGTCGCCCGCCACCGACCCTCGCGTCTCTCCCGTACTCGCCGGGCGGGACGACAGGAACCTCACGCCTACCCGAGCGGAGTGCCCCGCGTTCCCCTAGCTTGCCAAGGGCTCGCCCGGCCGCCAGCACGAGGGACGGACGCGGCTGGGACGAAGGATGGTGCGAGCGCCCCCCGCGCCGCCACGGCGAGACCAATCGCAGCAGCCCCTACGGCAGCCACTGGGCTGAATGGACAGGGTGGTCCAGCTGGGACTCCGACGACCGCTGGAGGCGGCCCGCACGGGCGCGCACCACCGAGCACGACGACCTCCCCACCTCGCAGTCCGCTCCCTGGCCCTCGTGCGCCAATGCCCCGTGCGCTCCGTGGCCCGCGTGCGCCAATGCTCCAGAGCAGCACAAATACAGGAGTGCCCAGGACGATGGTCCACATGACCTTCGCGATCCAGCGACGAGACAATGCATCTACAATGCCCCCCTCGACAGAGTCGTCGTCCAGAGCCCCATCGGAGAGGCTCCCGCTGAAACCGTGAAGAAGCTCCAAGGGGAGTTGGGCGACTACTTAACTGGCCTTTGGCACCAGTGGACAACCGCGCATCCCCCGCAGTCTGGCCAGGCCTGCGCCGACCCTGCGCGCCAACCGCTGGAGTCCTGCTCACGTTTCCTCGACGAATGGGCCCGCTGCAGGTACAACGTCTTCACGATGAACACTGAGCTCCAGCTTGGAGTGGAATGGGAGACTGCACGTGCTCGCGTCCGCGAGAGAATTAGGCTCACGGGCAACCCCGGTCAAGCTAAAGGCGAAGGGCCGCGCGAAGACAGCGACGCCCTGCGGAGCAGAACTGCGGGCCCCAGAAGTGCTTTGAGCGCGCGCCTTTCCCGGGCACACTCCTAGGCTCGGCAGGCTGCGACGGCGCGCCCAGGCAGCCGCCCCCTTGGGCGCTGTGCGTCACTTTGGGGTCCCTCGAGACCCACCCTTCATGGCCATTGGGGCGACCTGCTTCTGCGCGCGCCGCTACGTGCGCGCTAATGCCACCTCGGACGCGCCCTGCTGGGGCTGTTGGCCCGTCCCATGCACTAGAGTCCCTCTGTGAGGCGCCCACTTGTGGCTTCTCTCTCTCTGGATGACTGCCGCCTCCCTCGGCTCGCTATAGGCGGCCTGGGGACCTGGCCCCCTCGCGGGCCCCTGCCACTGCTAGAGCCTTTGCGGCAGCCCTACTTTGCAGCACTCCGCTGCCCCGCACATCTGCTGCGCCTGCCTGCTCGCCCGGGGGAGCCTGGCAGACCCACGACGGTCCCTCCGGATTTCCCCCCCCCACGCCCTGGCGCCCCCTTTCCCCCCGGCTGGCCCGCTGGACTTGCCTGGGTCGCCATCTTGCACCTGGTGCCTCCCGCTAACTCCATGGGGGCGGCCCGCCACCCCTCTCCTGGTCGACTGCCCTCAGGGCCCTGTCCTCGGGCGTTGCCGCCCGCGACAGGCCTGGTGCTCGCCGCTGGTAGCCTCGCCCCATCCCGCCCTGGCAGGCCTCGCGCGCCGCGGCCTCCAGTCGGACTGGCCCCTGGCTACGGCTGGCCCGCGGGCCCCGGTAGCCTGTTCCGCCCGCCGCCCGCTCCACGCCGTTGCGGCTGTCTGCTGCGCTGGGGTGGAACGGGTTGTGGCGCCCCCTCCCCGCGGGTCGGGCTCAACGGTCTTATCCTGGCCACCCCACCCTTCGCGCGGCTGTCAGCCGCGCCCCGTCGTTCCGCAGCCTGGGCGCCCTTATGTCGCTGGCTCCCTCGTCCTCTTTTGCCCTGCCGTTTCCTGTCCCATCGCGGCTGTCTGCCGCGCCCCGGCTGCGCGTCGGCATGTCTCAGGCGCTGCCGTTTCCGAACTTCCTGCGGCTGTTAGCCGCGCCTTGACAGAGCATCGGCAAGTATCGAACTGCACCTCTCATCACCATCCCGCGGCTGCTAGCCGCGCCCCTTCCGTGCGCCGGCAGGTCCCAGGCGGAACCTTTTCCTACTCTTCGTGGCTGTCAGCCGCGCCCCCTCTGCGCATTGACAGGTCTCAGGCGAAACCATTTCTCACCTTCCCGCGGCTGCTAGCCGCGCCCCAACAGGGCGTCGGCATGTCTCAGACGAAACCATTTCCCTCCGCCCCGCGGCTGTCAGCCGCGCCCCAGCCGTGCTCCGGCAAGTCTCGAGCGGTTGCTTTCCCCACCATCTTGCGGCTGTTAGTACTTCCTACTTTCTCGCGGCTGTCAGCCGCGCCCCATCCGTGCGTGCCAGACGTGACGTTCTCAACGTGTCCCAGGCGAAGTCACTTCCCGCCGCCCCTCGGCCGCGCGCCGCTCCCCCGCGGAGCATCGGCAGGTCTCGGGCGGGACCTTCTCCCGCCATCCTGTGGCTGCTAGCCGCGCCCCAGTCGACCGCGCAGGCGAGTCCGCGGCGGTCAGCCGCGCCCCAGAGCTTTAGCAGGTCTCAGGCAAACCACTTCCCCCTTCCCGCGGCTGTTGGCCGCGCTCCTGCTGGGCGCCGGTATGTCTCAGGCGAAACCTCTTCCCGCCGTCGCCCGCGGCTGTTAGCTGCACCCCCGGGGCCATTGGCTGGCCCCAGGCGATGCTGGACGTGCGTTGCCTAATTTCCAACGGCTGTCAGCCGCCACCCCCTGGAGCTAATTGTGTTTCCTGCGGCTGTCGGCCGCCCCCCTCTGCCGGGCGCCTCCGGCTTCCGTGCCCCCCCCGAGGCGCGCGGGCCGGCGGGTCCTCTTCGCGCTCGCGGTCTTGCGTCGGCCCTGGAGTCGGCCGTGGGGGCAGCTACCTGGTCTGCGGTGCGGACTTTTTCGGGCTTCCACTGGCGCGTTCTCCGTTGTCGCAGCCTGCGTCTGAGCATCGCGGTTACTTGGTCTTGACAGCTCGAGGCTATCGACGTTTGGCGGCTGGAGAGGTATTGAATACCTGTTCGCCCACTCGCGGCAAGTGCGCGAAGTGCTACATGGCCACGGTGCTCACCTGCCCGGTCCTTGGCCTCTGAGCTGCGGCGCGTGCTCTCTTTCCCGCTGCGTTCGTCTTTCTTCTTCCGCCTTCTTCGCTTTCGTCCTCCTCGTGTTCGCCTTCTTCGTTGTCTTCGCCCCCCTCCTGCTGCGCTCGCGGTGCCTGTCTCGTCGCCTGCGCGTTTTCGTCACTCTAGCGCTGGCTCGGCGTTGTGGCCTCTTCCTTTTCCGCTAGACTTTACGACTCCGCTCGTAGCTCGACCTTTCCGACGCCGCGCGGGTGCCCGCTCGCGGTCGCGACCGAAAAAGTAACCCTACCAGCCCATCCAGAAACGATGCCCAGGGGAAGTGCCTCGATCAGGGAAGTGGGCAGCACGCAGAGGAAGGGCCCCCCAGTGGAGGCCTCCTCGGACGTCTTGGGGGTCTCTTGGCCATCCTGAGGGACTCTTGGGCGCCCTGGGTGCCTCGGAGGCCTCTTGGGGCTTGGGGTCCTCTTGGGTGCCTCTTGGGAGCCTCTTGGGGCCATCATGGGGCCATCTTGGGCCTCTCGGGGCCTCCCGGGCGCCTCTTGGGGCCATTTGCGACCATTTTGAGGCCTCGGATGGCCATCGGAAGCGAAAAGGCGAGAAGGCAAACATCCTTAGTTTTCCTTGGGTTTAAAAAGGATGTTGGCCTCTGGGGAGCTCTTTGGCTTCTTGGAGCCGTCTTGGGGCGGTCTTGGGGCCTCTTGGAGCATCTTCGGAGGCATCTTGAGGCTTCGTTGGCCATCTCGATCCAGCTGGGAGCTCATCTCGGTCTCTCCGAGGCGCTCTGGGGGCCGTCTTGGGCCCTCTTGGACGCTCCAACGCGTCGCGAACCCCCCCGTGCAGGTCCAGGGAGGGGATGGGGGGAGGGGGTGAACCCCTCCCCGAAGGGGAAAAATAAGGTTGGAAGAGGAAATTCCCTAAACCACCTACGCCCAGAGGGCTGGTGGGATTTTGCATCCAAATCAGGGTTCACCCATAGGCCAACCGCGCAGCCAATCGCCATGGTTGAAACAATCGGTACAGAGTGAGGCACAGTCCATTCAAATAATCGCGTGTGCAAGTCTTAAACCAACATTGGCACATTGGCAACGGACCCGTCTGCTAGCCCGACGGTGCGTGCGCGCGCGAGGATGAGAAACAAAACTTCAGGCCTCCTGCCAGGTCATATTCTTTGTTTCTTTCATGAGACAACAGAAGTAATGCTCGCCAGATCACCGTGCACCGCCACCTGTCTATCGACCACCGACCGCCCCCCACCCATCCGCAACCGCGCGCAATCCACCTCCCGTCCACCACGGTCCATTCATCCACCATGACCCGCCGCCCAGCCATCACCGTTCGCTCATCCACCACCCGCCACCCACCCACCACCCATTCATCAATGAACGTTCCGAGAGCGTCCGCGGAGATGGCAGTTTTTCTTTCATATCTTCAAAACCACCATGAGCTGCCACCTGCCTATCAACCAATGACCACCCGCCACCTATCTACCGCTGCTCACCCCTCTACCAGCCGCCACCTGCCATCCATCCCCCATTGCGCGCCATCCACCGCCCTCCCGCCCACCACCGCCTTCTCATCCACCGCCACGCCCACGGATCCACCACGCATCCACCGCGAGGTCCCCGGGCGCGACGGCGGCTCCTCCATGCCGAAGCACGCAATGTGTCCGCGGGCTGCCTCGCCCGCGCGCGCCACCGCCGGGGCCCCCGCGCTCGCCAGGCCAGCGGCAAAGGGCCGGCGGCGTTCCGCTCCGGCTGCGGCAGCGGCGCCCCCGCGGCGGAGAGGTGCGCGCCGCCGCCGAGGGGGCGGGGGCACAGTGCTGTGATTCGAAGGGGGCTCCCCTTGTGAGATTAGTGTTCCGCGTTTTCGGGCCCGCGTGGGCCCTGCGCGAGCCCCGTAAACAGGATGGCTAGCTGGTCCTGGAGAAGGGGTCGAGGGGTCTGGGGACCCATGTCTGGAAACATATCGTGCCGCTGGATCACTGGGTTGTTCCAGTGTCTCGGAGGATCTCGAAACAAGCACGGAAGCACCCGCAGAGCCAGGGCAGGGGCTAACCCTGAGATCCGACGTCACGAACCAATTGCACACTCGTAAGAAATCACGACACGAGCCCCAGACCTAATCTCTCCGCGGCATCTCTCGAGCCGCACTCATCCGTGAGCGTCCGGGGGCCCGAAACGGCGAAATCGCCCATGTTGAAAATATTGCGACGCCAGGATCCCAGGGAAAGATGAGGGGGCGGGGGTCAAGCTGGGCGCGCTCTCGCTTTATCTGACATTCCTATTCCACCCAGCCATCGCGCTAAATCTCCTATATCCGCCCACGGGTACTCTAGCGGACCTGGATCCCCCAAATGACGACATCGTGTGAAGCGCAATCCGACCCAGGATTTGTGTACATCGGTGGAGGCCGTCGCGGATGGACAAGAGGAAGTGGAGAATGAGGAAGGAAGAGGATGATGCGGAGGAGGATGATGACCAGAGTAAACCTAAGATGCGTCAACGATGTTGCAATCAGACCTCCAAGAATCGATTCAAGAGGCTTACGTCATTCCGCCGACCCACAGAAGAGGAGATGTGCGGCTTCCGAATTCGTGCGCGTTGTTTGCCACTTCCCGTCGTGCTGCCTGCGTGTAGTCGTTGCTGATTCGTCCTCTTTCCTCCGCGTCTGTTGTAGAGCTTCCTGGGGGCCTCTTGGAGGTCTAGGTGGCAGCCTCTTGGAGCTTTTTCAAGACTCCTGGGGCTTCTTGGGGCCCTCTGGGGGCTTCTTGGGGGTCTCTTGGGGGCATGTTGGGGGTCTTGGGGGCCATCTTCTGGTGGTTTCCCTCTCTTTGGCCATCTCCGGGCCGTTTTGGGGGCCTCTTGAGCCACCTTGGGCCAGTCTGGGAGGCCTCCTGGTCCGTCTTGAGCTTACAGACGCCAGAGAGCCGAACGCGAACATGTTCAGAATCTATGCCAATCAATGCATTCTGCCTCTGGAGGCCCTCAGGGGGGTCCTCTTGGGGCCTTCTTTCGGCATCTCAGGCCGTCTTGAGGCTATCTTGAGTGTTCTTGAGGCCTCTCTGGCGTGTTGGAGCCGTTCTGCAGCCATTTTAGAAAGCATCTTGGGATCTTGGCGGCCACGGAGGGTGGATTTTGAGGCGCCGAGGGCCCCGGGGGAGCGTTGGTGAGACCAGCCACCCCCCCCCCCTCAAATGCGATTTCGGATCCTCGGGGGGGGAAAGGGGGAGAGGTGACAGCCAATCATCTCACACGCTTCCTCACCCCCGGCAAGCGGGGGTTGGCGGTTTTTCATTGCGGGAAGTGGCCAGATGAGGCTCGAGTTTGCCAGATCTCGTGCTCGCCGTCATTTTTTTGGGGGGCGGTCTTGGTTTGACTTTTTGACGGATCAGTTTTTGTGAGATGTTTGCAGCGGAAGATCGTGTCAGATTTAAGGCTAGGTTCAGTCATTTTTCTGACGGCCCCGTCAGGCTAGTTAGATTAGCCTGATGGGGCTTGATGGAGTTTGGTGGGCTCGAAGAAGTTATCGAGTCCACCAAACTCGAGTCTCGTATCTCCCCGTTTTCTCCACGCCGCCCAACTCCGCCACGGAGGAGAGGGGTCCTGAGGGAAACGGGTCCTGAGTTTTTCCGCTGCTTTCGGCCTCCGGGGGCCCTCCTCGGGCCCCCAGGCCGTCAGCCACAATTGCTCGTGAGGAAGAATGAGATTAATTGGTCCTGGGGGAAGGCCCCAGGGTGCAGGCTTGGTCTGATTAGTGGGTCGACCCTGCGGCACCACGGGTACTTTTGTGTCCTGTCCGCTGCGTGTCATCATTTTTGTCCGTGTCGGTGTATGGGCTGCTCTCGGAACAGACCTGTATCCTCTCGGGTCTCGGGTGCCCTGTGCTGTCAGTCCCGTCTGTACTCCAGGCCGCCCAAATGGTGTCGGAGCAGACGGGGTCGGAGGATCGCGCCGCTTCGCCGATGCATCAGCGACGAGGCGCTATCTAGAGCCCGAGTTTCTCCATCCCGAAGGCGCGGATGCATCGGCGATTCGTCGGCAATGCGGCGCGATATCTCGATCCCATCAGCTACGGCCAAATTCGGGCGGCTCTCAGGTATGGTATGTTCCGCGCCGTGTTGACGCCGCCGTTGCCCCAGCGCGAGCATTCAGCCTGTCACCGTGCCACACCCTCCTCCTGCACCCTGCGGTCGTTGCCGCGTTCGCACACAGAACGAACACAGACCTGGACTTGTTCCACCATGCCAGGTTCCATATCGATCCAATCGATCCGATTAGATATCGAGCTCGTTGGGCGCGATCAGATTCGATTTCTATGTTGCAGCGATGCGATGCGGCCAGATACTTGCAAGGTGCAGTTGTTGTGCATCCTGGGGCAGCCGATCCGATTCGATTTCGACTCCGTGACGATGCAGTCCGATCCGACGCACGTTCCGACCCGATCCGATTTCTCGATTGCGAAGGCCTTACGGCCGGTGCCGCCGACCCTGAATGGCGACGACGACGACGACGACGACGACGACGAGCGCTCTTGGGGGCCTCTTGGGGGTAGTTTGTGGGCCTCTTGGGAAGCTCTCAGGGACCGCTTGGAAGCCTCGTGGGGGCCTCTTGGGGCTTCCTGGGGGTCTCTTGGAGGGGGCCTGGGACGTCTTGGAGGCTTCTTGGACGGTCTTGGGGCTATCGTGGGCGTTTTCGGCCGATCTGTGGGCGACTCGGGGCCCTCCTGGGCCGTCTCGGGGGCAATTCTGGACATTCGGACCTCCGACGCACGTTCCGACCCGATCCGATTTCTCGATTCGAAGCTGATTGATTTTGCCATGCTTGTCTGTGTTCTCATAGGTGGTAGCAGCGATTGAGCACTGCCACGAGAGGGCCTTTCCTCCGTCCTTGGGGTTCGCGCTCAGGTGGTGCTGACGACTGGGGGGCCGCGTTCATGACTTTGGATGCGCTTTGAAATCACTCTGCAGAATCTGCCACTACGTGTTTTGACATTCTCCTCCCAGACGCCCAGGATCTGCCTTATCGTACCCTGTGCACGGCTGCCCTAGGAACCCGAGGCCGGAGCATTGCATATTAATGACTACATGTTCCGAGTGCGCGCCCGGTCTTTCCCAATTCCGCGGCCGCCCCCCCTTCTTCCGCGTCTGTTCGTGTGGGCAACCAGCGCCTGCTTGCGTGGCCTGGTAGCCGCTGCGAACACGGTTCGATCGCGTGCGACCTTGTTCATCGCAGCTGGCCGAAGAAGTTCTGACCTCATCCCTGGCCGAACAGCGATTCACCTACGGCGTTGTGCTGCGCCAGTCTCTATCTCTCACTCTGCACCCCTCTCCATGTCCTCCAGCATATTCCCTATGCATGTGCATTTGCATGTCTTCTGCTGGTGCTTGACGTGAATCGCCTGGTCCGCTTTCGGCGCGCCTTCCCTTCCCGCCTTCTCCCAGACTTCGTTTGTGAGCTGCTCGCTTGTATCCTTCCTCGCTCCCGTCTCCCTCGCACAGAGCCATTGAGTCTCCATTTCCAGGCAGATTCCAGACAACCCCTCTCTCTTGCCACGCGACATGTGCTATTCCTAGATTTTCTGTGATGGAGTGGCGTTGAGATGGGAGCATCTCGTCGTACACTCACGTCATGTCTCATGACAGATGCTACGTAACGAAGTCTTATCGTACGCACCGCGAGGTGCGTTGAGATGCGAGCATATCGTCGTACACTCACATCACATCTCAGGACACGGTTCTACATAAAGAAGTCTTGTCGTATGTGCAACCTACTGCTGACATTCCTCATGATCTATCAGCAATCACCTTGAGCCTCCTCACATTGTGTATGAAACACCTTGCGCCTTCGCAATCTCAGCGTAGCGTCACCGCAAGCCCTCTAAAGCTATGCCCACACACAGGCTGTGCTTGCGCTGTGGGAGGGAGGGTTGCTTGACGGCGGGGTGCTCTTCCCCGAGATGATGTGTCGCAGTCACCATTCTCCGTCGCGTCCCCATGTCTGTGTGTGGCCCTCCTGCTCGCGTCTCTGGCGCGCAGCTCCCGCTTGCTCGTGCCCGCTGCCAGCCACAGAAACCACAGCACGCACGAGCGACCGCTGCGTAGCGGCGCCGGCGGGCCAGGTCTCGGCTTTCACGGTGTGCCGCCTCGGACGCGCCGAACTCCTCTCATCTTACCCTCCCCGCTTTTGCTGGCCTCTCTCGTGGCCTTCCCTTTCTGCTCATTCAGCGAGTTGGATGGGGTCCCAGACTTCATAATCGGTCAGCACATATTTTTCGACATTTCTACCAGTCGGGGACTTCGTTGGGAGGTTATGGGGCCCACTGGGCATATTTCTGGTGGGCCAGCTCGCGCCGTCGTGGAGGCCACCTCGGACCATCTTGGGCAACCTTGGAGGCCATCTTGGGCATCTGTGGGGGCCCTCGAAGGCCCGATGGGTTCTCTGGGTTTCGAAATAAGCGTGGGGGGGACCCCCCCCGACGGTGGTCAACCTCGCCACTCGTCGCGCCGCGACGGGTGTCGGAGCGCCTTCGGCGCGCGGTGGCTGCCCGCGACGGGGTTCGATGTGGGGCTGTCGGCGGGGGTGACGCCCCCCCGACGCTTATTAAGAAATTCTGAGTACTTAATCGAAGACGCCCACGGCGAATCACCGCCGCCCCCTGCCTTTTGGAATCGCCCATGCGGCCGAACGCTGTGGCCAGAGCTCTGCTGAGCTATCGGACCATGTGTTCCCCCAGCCGTTGTGGGAATCCATCGTGGAATACTTGGCGTAGGATGGCGGGGAAGATCAGGAGGATGAGGAGGATGAGGAGGAGGAGGAGGAGGAGGAGGAGGAGGGTCCGTAGCTGGCTCAAACCGCTCTGGTTCGAGCCCACCCCTGGCACAGGGCCAGTACGCACCGCCACACCCTAGGCCGCCAAAGGCCGAATGCGGGAAGATTTCGGCTTTCTCCCACCCTCGCGTGCATGCATGGCGTACATTGGGTTTGTCCGCGGGTCAGAGAACGGGGTCGTCTGTAGGAATGGCCCCAGAAGTGGCAGGGAAAGCGATTAAAACGGAAATCAGTGTTCGTTTTGGTGTGAAGGTTTTTGGGGTCAATTTGTTGTTTTGGATTATGTTTGGGTTAAGCTGTGGCTCCAGATTCTTAGCTGTTGGTGTGCACTTGAAAGTGTCGTATGTTCTCCACTACTGCATATACGTCGGTCTCTGGGGTGGGCTGTCCGATGGGTTAGGCGCGGCTGCCGGCTTCGACCAGTGCCGCTGGGCGTCGGTGTTCGGCCTTGGTTTTGCAGCGGTGTCTTGCGATGCAAGTTGGTCTTTGGCCTCGGTATTAGTCTTCGGCCTCGGTCTTGCGACGCCGTCCGTCTGCGACCTCTCCCCACATGGTAGAACAACGAAGATCGATCACAGATTTGCGACGGGGGGCGGTCTTGATTTCCTGAGTTCTGCGTGCACCATCGCTCGCCGACAGCGCGGTTCCCCTTGGGCCCCGCGACACGTGGCTCGTCCTATGGCCCGCGGCGCCAACGGCCTCGTTGCCGCGGAGCACGCGAGCGCGCGCTCGCCTGCGCGAGTTTCGCGTCGCACCGCGCAGCGCGAAGCGCGCAAACGCAAGAGCGCACATCTTTAACAGCGAGGCTTCGATGTCACGCGCTGTTTGCGTGGGGACTCGCGTTGCACAGCCGAAGGAAGTGGGCGAGTCTTCTGAAAAGAGCACCGCGTGCGCGTCGCCGAGTGCGCGTCGCATCGCGCCCGGCTGCCAGAAGCAAGTCCCTCCACCGCGCCAGTCCAGCACTTTGGGCAGCGACTGTTCGAGCGATGGAAACAACGATGGTGGCGACGAGGACGGCGACCATAATGCGAAGGAGACAAACATTAGGCTGTCACACGTGCGCACTCCCAATGAATTTCTTGAATAGCCCTCATGGGGTTCAACTGGGCCGTATCAGGGCAGTCTTGGGTTCTTGTGGGGCCGTCTTGCGGGCCCCTTGCGGCTTTCCTGGGTTGCTCTGGGCTCCGCGTGAGCCGTCTTGGGTCTCTTGCGGCCTTCGTCGGGGCGTCGCGGGGGCGCCTGGGTCCGTCGGGGGTCGAGAGGGGGCCGTCTTGGATCCCTTCGGCTGTCTTCGCAGGCTGTCTTGGGGCTCTCTTGGGGCCGTCCTGTGCCGCATTCTGGAGGTTTCTCGGCTCATTGTCGCGGCGTCTTGGGCCGTCTCAGGGCAACGTGGGAGGCTTCGTTGGCCCTCTCAGGCTGGTTGAAGCCGGAAGCGATTATGTCCCAAAATCAATGAAGCGCCGTATCAAAATCAGCGAGTGTCGTACCTAGGGTCGTTCGGGGTCCTTTTGGAGCCCTCCTGGGCCGTCCTGGGACGTATTGGGGGCTTCTCTGAACCATCTTGGTTCCGTGCTGGGCCTCCGTGGTGCCGCGTTGATTTGTCTCGGAGCCATCTTTGTCCGTCCAAGAAAGAACCTGAGGCCATCTTGGCGGCCGATTGCCACCCGGGGCCGTTTTGGGAGACTTGGAGAGCCTCAGGGAGTCAACGCGGTCGCCCGGGAACCCTCGGGAGAAGGGGCGGCGCGCGGGAAAGCGCGCGGCGGGGCGGGCGAGCCCCCTCAGCGAATGGAGAAACCCTACCAGACAGCACTTGGCATTCGCACGCTCCACTATCGCGGCGGCGCGGCGCCGCCTGGCGCGCGCGAGCGAGATTGAGGCGGCCTTTGCGCCGCCGCGCGCGCAGCGGCTAGAAGGGCGCTCGCGTTGGATTTCCCGCGCGCGCGACGGCCGGGCACCTCCGTGCGCGGAAAACGCAGCGCGAGCGGCCTTCCGTCGGACGTGCCTCTGAGTCCGCTGGTGTCCCCCAGCGCGTCGTGGCCGATTCTCGCCCGCCATTCGCCTTCGCGGCCCCGTGCGAGGGAGGGGGTTGCGCGGTCAACCTCGGGCGGTCAATTGGCTTATCGGCGGCCGATCCAGGTCGGTCCGCGCGCGGTTAGGCGGGCATTTCGGGCGGTCAATTCGGGAGTCCAACGCGCGGCCGGGCGGTCAACGCGCGGCTGGGCGGTCAACCTGGGCGGTCATTTCGGTCGGTTACGGCGCGGCGGGGCGGTCAACGCGCGGCTGGGCGGTCAACCCGGGCGGTCAACTCGGTTGGTCAACGCGCGGCGGGGCGGTCAACGCGCGGTTGGGCGGTCAATGTGGCCGATCAACTCATCAAAGCGCGCGTCGGCCGATCAACTCGGCCGACCAACTTGGCCGACCAACTGGGCCGATCAACTCGTCAACGCGCGCGCGCGGTCAATTTGGCCGATCAGCTGGGCCGATCAATTCGGCCGATTAACTCGGCCCATCAACTCGGCCGATCAACTCGGCCGATCAACTCGGCCCATCAACTCGGCCGATCAATCTGGCCGGTCAACTCGGCCGATCGTTTTGGCCGTTCGACTCGGCCGATCACTTCGGCCGGTCAACTCGCCTGGCCCCTTTGGTCGGTACTTTCGGGCGGCCCATTCGGGGGGGTCAACTTGGGCCGTCAATTCGGGCGCGGGTGCCTGCGCGCGCCGTGGGTGCCTGGGCGCCTCCGCCCACGCACGCCGCCAGCGCTTGGGCGTGCTCACCCGCGCTCGCGGTGGGCGCCCGAACGGTTTCATTCCGAGCTCCCCAGGCCAATAAGTTTCGCGTGGCCCGGTGTTTTTTGGCCCCGGTTGGTTTCGGGCGATCCAGTATCGCCCAAGTTATCGAAGCCTCGGTCGACCCAGAGCCTCCCATACCCTTGCGCTTCGAGCGATCCAGGGCCTAGTAGACCCTTGCGCTGGGACCCTCTGGTGGTTGGATTTCACTCCAATCGCTCGGCTGGCGCCGAAACACAAGGCTCCCTTCGATAATCCTTCGCAAAAAACCGCTCGCGCACTGCGCGAGATAGGAGTGCAGCGCAGCGCGCGTGGCCCAAATCGCATGGCTGACGCCAAGACAGGGGAAGCCCTGGCAATCGAAGTTCGCAACAACCGTTCGGCTGACGCCGAGGCAACCGCTCGGCCAACGCCTCCACGCCGCCGCGCGCGCGGCAGCGCTGAGCCGACGTGCGCGGAGGCATGCAACGGGAGCGGCCTCTGCGCCAGCGGTTTCTGCGACGCCGCGCGGTTTCTGCGACGCCGCGCGAGGGGGCGCCGTGCCGTCGCGCGCAGAGGAACGCAACGGAGGCGGCCCTTGCGCCGCCGCGCGCGCGGCGGCGCTGGGCCGTCGCGCGTGGGCAATTTGTGACGAGGCCAGCTTCTGCGCCGTCGCTCGCGCGGCGTCGCTGGGCCGTCGAGCGCTGTGACATGCGGCGGGGGGGGGGGGTCTCTGCGCCGCCGCGCACGCGCGGAGGCGCTGGGCCGTCGCGCGCGGAAGACGCGCCGCCGGCGGCCCCTGCGCCGCCGCGCGCGCGGCGACGCTGGGCCGTCGCGCGCGGAGAAGCGCATCGCGAGCGGCCACTGCGCCGCCGCGCGCGCGGCGGCCGCCTGCGCGCGCGAGGAAACGCAATGGAGGCAGCCCCTGCTCCGCCGCGCGCGCGGCGGCGCTGGGTCGCCGCGCTCAGAAAAAATGCGACGATACCAGCTCCGGCGCTTCCGCACGCGCGGCGGCGCTGGGCCGTCGCGCATGGAGAGGCGAAATGGAGGCGGCCTCTGCGCCGCCGCGAGCGCGGCGGGCTGGGGCCATCGCGAGCAGAAAACGCGGCGCGAGCCGTTCCCGCGCCGCCGTGCGCGCGGCGGCGCTTTGCCGTCGTGCGCGGAGAATTTGATGGTGGCGACCTTTGCGCCGCCGCGCGCGCGGCGGCGCTGAGCTGCTTGCGTAAGAATGCGATGGGGGCGGCCCCTGTGCCGCCGCGCGCGCGGAGGCGCCGGGTCGCCCCCCGCGGGAAACGCAGGCGTTGGGCCATTGCGCGTTGAGAAATGCAACGGGGGCAGCCTCTGCGCCGCCGCGTGCGCGGCAGGATTCGGCCGCTTTGCGCAGAGACATCGACGTCAGGCTGTCTTCTCAGTTAGCGCGCTACGGCCGCGGGGCGTGCGCCGCTGGCGCCCGACAACGTTTCGCGGAAACGCGGGCCTGTTGTAGGCTGCCTTGTTTGGTCGTAAACGCGGCTGTGCTCGACGGGCGCTGGCTTGCCCAATGGCCAGTG